TCTTCTGAAACTTAATCAGTTCAATCTTGTGTGCCTTAGAACAAATCCTCCACAGCCCTGCTCCAAAGAGCTGTACTACTCACATAGTGAAAACTGATCTGGTTTCAGTTTCAAATTTGTGAACAAGATCAAGTGTCACTACAGGCATGTGAACCTGCCCAGGCAGGGTGCTCGTGCATACATGGTGTGTTCACATGGTGAGTTTCCTGTTCTTAATAACATTGTTGGGGTACAACCATGAAGATGCACACACACCAGTCCCACACATGGTTTGTGATTTTTAACTACAAAGCAATAAAGCTTTGCTTTATAAACCAAAATAATCCAGCAGCCACAGCCGAGCCTTTAAAGTTTTAGTTCAAAGCAGAGAGCTAGGGAAGACTCTGGCCATAAAGATACAGGCCACTAACTTGTCCTTTGACAAATGTTGTTCATTATGCTCATAGTATTTCTCTGGATAGGTGACTGAACCTGAAATAAGAGTAGCAGTATTTGCTACTAGCAGCCAGAACATAACAGACACAGCTGTAGCAGTTGTCCAGGTGAGCTTCTGGACTCAGGTGGTACTTGAGCATTATAGAAGGTAGCTAACTTTATCAAATGAAATTCCATGGCTTATCTCCTTAAATGTTTTTAAAGCTTAACAGCAGTTGACATTTTAACAATGATTTTAAACAGAACCTGCAGGAGGTATGAAATGTGAATATATATCTTCATTATTGACTGAACTGAAGCTATTGTTAAATGCCAAAATGTTTAAATGTTTAATCAAGTTTCATACAATATATCTGTCTATTTAACTTCCCACCCCTTTTTTTTTTTTGCTTTTAAAGGTTATTCTGAAAGTCAGAATAACCAAGATCAGTACCAATTCGGAGAATTTAAAAGGAATGAGCACTGTCCCTTGGGCTGATAAAAAATGCTACCTGCAAAATTTACCTCTGTGCTGCTGAAGGAACAGGAACAGTTCTTATGCTGCTTCCTTTATTTGATGGGTATTTCTTCTTGTTGAATATACTCATCTCATTTTCAACACTGATTATGTAGTATTCATTTTTGTAATAGGAATATTTCCATATAATGTGGTCTTACTGGATTTTTATATTTCCTCATCTATTTGAATGCCTTACATTTCAGCTGTAACTTTTCAGGAGAATGCCTGCCTTTGCATCTTTCTACTTTATGTGCTCTGATACTGAGCCAGTACATGGATACAAATGCTACCAGATAACCACACATTTGCTAAGTTTACATAATCCCATTTTTACATGGACTGGGATAGATTTATGTCAAATTTATGTTTATAAAATAATGAAGCCTTTTACCAGTGCATATCCCCACTGTTTAAAGATCATTGGCTGCTTCCAGGTAACAATTAACAAAAAATGTTTCATTTGAAAGAATAAATCCCACCTATAGTCCAGGTACTTAAAAGACTTTTTTTTCATTCAGAACTTAACATCATGCAGGCAGGCACCATGGACATTGTACATCTGAAATAGTTGGAAAAAAATAATTACAAGCTTAGACCACTTAATAGTGCATTAGTAGATGGAGGAAAATGACCTGCTTATAGGAAGACTGTTTCAAGTTTCAAGAACTCTTTAGCAGGTGGTGCTAAGACCTGAATCAACCCGGAAAGCACAAGTATGTCTTCTGCAACTCCGCGTGGGGCCACCAGATAGAGCCATTACCACGTACCACGGGCTCTGCAGCCCAGCGAGCCTGGCCGGGCAGGAGCCCCGGACCCCTGTAGGTCTGGGAATGCAGTTTTCCTGACCTAACCTGACCAAAACCCCGCTATAAAAATGAGGTGCTGGTATATGCTATTGAAAATGAGATAATAAAACCAAGATTTACATCTGCAAGTTAAAAAATAGAGCATAGGGTTTATCCGTTTTACTCAAGCCTGAAACTTGGCCTTTTGAGACGTATACAGACATTTTGTAAAGAAGTGTGACTTTATGCTTGCCCTATTCTTGTATTTCTCCCCAGGCATCTGCTCCCCACAGAAGACTGCAGAGCACTGGGGCGAGCAGCAGGAACCGCTGCTGCTTGAAGTTGAGGTGCAATGCTCGCTCTGTGGATTTTCCCCGTCGGTATTCACAGTCCTGTGCTTTTGGAGTACTTTTAAAGACAAAATCGAGCTATTCTTTTTTTCATTATCACTGTTCCTCTTCAAGAGGGATGATCAAGACAGAGCAATGTGGCTTTTTCTCCTCAGATATGATTTATTGCAATTAGTGAGTTACAACTTCTCAGGTGCAATACAGTGCACAGTGTAGATGTCATTAGCTTCACACACATCCCAGGACTGCAGAGCACTGGTAGCAACTTGTTCCTATTTGATTAAAAAGTTAGAGATAAAAAACTCACGTTTGGAGTAACTTTTCTAAGTACAGATCAACCCAGCTTAAACCTGTATTTTTCAGAATACACTTCAGCATAGTAAATTGTATAGAAAAAAATCCCTATAAATTCATAAAGATGCCACAGCACATAGTAAATGATATTAAAGTGATAGCATTTTGTCAATATTACACATACTGCTTAAGATAAAATAAACTCACCAATTAGATATTAAACATCACAAATAAACCTTAATGTTGTCCATCCTGCAAGTAAAGAGCGGGCAGTCCACATACCTCAGATTTCCTTCTCCTAACTTTTAAACATGTTGCTATGCTGCTGTTTTCCATAACTGCTTGGGTGAGGGCAAATTTGCAAGACGCTATAAGGCATAAAAATAACCACAAGATCAAAACTCATGTTTATTATGATGAATATAAAAGAAAACTACCAGTGCCAGTTCTGCATTCACTTTATGTTTGAAATATAGAATTTAATGAAAAAGTATATTGAAGTATATAATTTATGAAATTGATTTAAAAGGAAACACACATTTCAAGATGATTGAGAAATGTCCTCTGCTCTGCTCTGCTTACATGCTCCTTCACTTGGGAAGAAAGGCCAAGCCAAATACAGTGGTATCCAGCTGAGATTCCAACTCCCTTTATAAAGAACACTTAACTTTGCAAGCTCACATCTGTGTGCCTTTCAGAAAAGCCAAGAACTTTGACCAGCGAACCTGAAAGCTGATCATAACCCAAAACTGCCAGTATCATTTCCAGTCATCTAGAAATGTGAATTCATGTTATAAGTACTTAGATCTACTTTTTCTAAAGGTATGCTACAGCTCTTACATAAACTCAATATGCTTCGCTTACAGTCAAACAGTTCACAACTCATTCAGGACAATATTCAGGCAGAACAATCAAAAGCACTTCCATTGCAGTAAATATTTTAACTTTCTACCTTTGAGAGCCCTGCAGCTTATAGAGTAAAAATAGTATTTCCCTTCCTTCCTCCTCTTCCCTCTTTGAACTCACAACTGAATCATTTTGTTATATAGTTTCCAACAAGTTGCTATTTGTCTGGATAATAATCCAAAAAGATCCTTAAATCCTCACATACAAACTCAGAAAAATGTTAGTACTTAAAAATGGAACTATGTAGGGCATTTAAGGCATTGTAGGGCATTGTAACAACACTGTTTGCTATATAAGTGAGATTTTTTTTTTCAAGCATAGTTGTTGTTTTCTTACAGTACTTTGCTCCATCCTTCACATCACTTTTTCTCCTTGATCTTCTGCTGAAGATCCTTGGGTTTGGGGCTGTTGCTTTTACCCATTATTACTATCTGTTCCTTCCCCTTTCTCATGTTGCTTTGCTTCTTCACTCTGACCACATTCTTGCATTCATGTAACTCCCAGTGCTAAGATGCATTTCCTCACACTCATTCCTCCTCTTCTGTACAGTGTCCAGTTCTGAACTCTCCCATTCGCTATTGCCTGGGAACATGGAAGTACAAATTCCACCATTTGCCTACATAGAGAAATAGGCCAGCATCAAATATATGCTGACAGTAAATCCTCTCACATCTGAGAAGATAAACAGCATTCACTACTGGTCCAGAAGCTGCTCTCTTTGGGAAGCCACTGTTCGGCCATATGCAATTCCTACAGTGGAACAGCATGAGACTGTCCCAAAATTCGGACGTGAGTTTTCTTATTCTAACATTCCTCAGACTTTACAAACTGCAACCATCTTCTAGCTAATACATTTTTGTGCAACTCCTCAACTTGGCAGAAGCACAGAAGAGTAACAGTCAGCTGGATTTCTTGGCTGCAGGTATAAACATCGACTCCCCAGCCCCTGAAGGATTAAACTGCTGCCAGCAACCTAAGGAAATTCACAGCTCTCTAGTGAATGGAAAATACTGCCACTAGTTAGTTCTTTCTCCTTACCCTGGAGGAACTGAGCTGCTGCCAATTAACATAACTTTTTCCTACACTTTGCAATTCCTTTGAACTTTTTCAGGATTTTACAGAAAACAGTTTTGTCTCTATGTAAATCTATTCAGTGCAAATCCCAGTCATAAAGAAGGACTGATAACTGTAGCAGAAGCCCCTAGACAAGGGAATCTTGTTAGTTTGCATCCATTACTCAAAAAATGTAATACTTATACCAATTTGTACAAAAGCCAAGAAGAATCTAAGAGCAACAGAAAACACAGTGAGTAACAAATGAAGTGCACATGAGAGAAGCTACATTCAAAAATTCCACAGATTGGAGATTATATTGCTTTTCATGTTACTGCCCACATTACTACAAGCTGTCATTCCTTGAGAAACAGGATTAAAAGCTGACTACTTTGCATACATCATGAACACTCACAATGTTTAATGGCAGAGAAACAACTGAGATCCAGGGCAAAGGGACATAAGGCTAGAAACTGGATTATTGGTATGGAATTGCTACAAAAAGAAAACCTTCTCTTCCCCAGTTTGATTTTCATCTGTCCACATATACAGCAAGATACAAACAGAACTCATCTCTCACACTAGTCAAAAATACCTCTTATTTGCCTGAATAACTGCACTATTTTATTTTAAAAATTCTCATAAATGCCTTCATTATGTAATGTGTTAAAAACTCACGAAATCAGCTTCAAGTTTTCCCATTTCTTGTTTGTAGCTTCTCATTCGACTGCTGTACATTCCTCGGCTTTGAGGTGGGATCTCTCGAACTTCAAGTTCCATCTGCTCAAGCTAACAAGTAAAAACAAAGAGCAGACGTATAAATCAAAAGGTTAATTAAAGCAAGAGTGAATTTACCCGAGGTTTTCACAAATGCTAAGAAATATTCCTTCTTTATAAAGAAAAATGCTGCTTATTCTGTAATATATAAAGAATTTATCAAAATATTTACACAGCCTTAAGTCAACAAACAAGTGACAAAATTAATATTATTGACACTTAGAAGGAATGATTCTAGTCAAACATTTCTGGATTTTAATTTCAAATGTGATTAATACATTTTATTACAAGAAAATAGTAAAACTGAGGATAAATAATTCCTGCAAATTAGCATAGTTCAGAAGAAAGCCTATGTCCATCTAGCTGGGCAGTTTTGGAAAGCTTTGGCTGAAAAATATATTTTATTTATTAATAGCCACACACACATATATATATACAGATATGCATATATTAAAGTTTTATTTACCACCAGTCTCTATGTTTAATAAACTAATCCTTTTTGCTTTAAATACTGCTAACTCAGCAGAATTACAAAGCTTGAACTGGTTTCCTAAATCTACATCCCAAATCTGTATGTAAGTGTATTACACAGCTGAATTTTAGGGTTTAATGACAGTCCTATTCAAGAACCTGTACATAGTTGAATGTATTCAAACATCAGAGAGAGAATTTATCTTTTAAAAGCTTTTTCTATTTATTCTTACCATGTAGAATACTAAGGGGCCTGAAACACAACAATATGGCACAGAGGTACAGAAAATCAAAAGAAGTTATAAACCAGGGCTGATAATTACCTGCCCCCTGGGTCATGAAGCCTCCTCTATATGGTGCTGTCTCTTCAAGAGTTATATTTTGCACAGCTGAAGAATCCCTTACCTGCCTTTTAAAATCTTTTCAAGTTTATTTGAAAAGATAAGAGAATACCTCTCCTTGGTTGCTGTAGGTTCTTGAAACAGTATTTACTCACCTCCTACTGATCTTGGTTGAGCAATAAGGATAGGAACAGAAATGCTTTTCAGTTAGGGTCCCAAACTGGTTACAGGTCTTCACAAGGGACTGCTGGAGTTTATTCCTATGTAATCACTTGCTTACACTTTGAAACTTCATCCTCATATTGTAAGAAAAGCATCTGAATTTAATCAATGGAATTACCAGATACTTAACAGTCATTTTGCCTGATCTAGTCTGATTATACAAAATGATATTCAATAGTAAACTGTAAAGCAGACTTTAATTAAATGGTCACTAGTGAATTGAAACATACAAAGCAATTTCTAATTCTACCCAGCTCTTTGGCTCAGGCTTAACTTTCCAAAGGGGTAAATTAAACCAATAGCTGGAATTAATAGCTTATTTCTTATCAATTTCATCACAATATATTTGATCTCAAATGTTCTATAAACGTAGAAAACATTTCTCTCATATATATATAAGTATATGTGCAAGGTCAGAATATTTCATTGAAGTCCAATTCTTACTTATTAGATAAAAATGAAAACATTTCCCAGTGAATACAGAAGTTGCATAAACGATCAGACCACAGTCCATGAAATTCAAAATGTTCATTCTAAAGTGGCAGTATTAGTGAGTGTAACGATGAAGCACATATATTTCAGCTGACCAATATTTAACACCTTGCTTTTCTTCATGAGATTAAATGAGTACATTATGTGGCTGGGCTGAGAAATTTCCATGAGAAGCCATGCAGAAGACAGTGGTCCAAGCAGGTGTGAACCTAAATGTACTTTCATGTAACTCCACTTTCAGGTTTCTTATTATTGGCCAAAAAAGTCATACTTTTCATACACAAGCAAGAACAGAGCTAAAATCTACTTAAAGCAAACAAAATATCCTGGTACTTAAATCTCAAAATATGTGTAGAAGCTCAAGTTTTCTTCAGAAAACCTACAAGCTCAAACTTCTGTTACTGCCTATGTTCAAAGTTGACATGTGCTGGTTTTGGATGAGGTAGAGTCAATTTTCTTCATAGTAGCTGGTGTAGGGCTGTGTTTTGGATTTGTGCTGAAACCAGCGATAATAATACAGAGATGTTTTCATTATTGCTGAGCAGGGCTTACACAGAGCCAAGGCCTTTTCTGCTTCTTGTACTTCCACACCAGCCAGGAGGCTGAAGGTGCACAAGGAGTTGGGGGGACACAGCCAGGACAGCTGACCCCAGTTGACCACAGCGATATTTCAGACCATATATCATGCTCAGCATGTAAAGCTGGGGTAAGAAGAAAGAAGGGGGACATTCAGAATGATGGCATTCGTCTTCCCAAGTAACCCTTACATGTGAAGGGGCCTGGCTTTCCTGAGGATGGCAAAATGCCTGCCCACAGGAAAAAGTAAAGGAATTCCTTGTTTTGCTTTGCTTGTCGTGCATCTTTTGCTTTCCCTGTTGGAGTGTCTTTATCTCAACCCACAAGTTCTCGCACTTTTACTCTCCCAGTCCTCTCCCCCATCCCACAAGTGGGCAGGGAAAGGCGGGAGGTGTGTGAGTGTCTCTGTGATGCTGAGTTGGTGGCTGGGGTTAAACCACAACATCACCACTGTGGTGAAGCTGAGCATTTTGGCACTCAACTCTCGCCCAAATTCATAAACTGCATCCTCAAGGCTCCTCAGGAGTTTAACCTGGTAGGCTTGCTCCTAACAGCACCCAGCACTGAATACAGAATAAAGCAGAGCAGCCCCTGGTATTTCCATTCAAAAATAAAACAAAGTACCGCAGTGTGGCTGATGTGCTCACTGAGACCCCAGAATAAGTGTCCCCCTCCCACAGGCACTTTTCCATATGAAATTGCTCTGGACAGCTGCTGGCATTTTATAGAACTTGTAAGCTTCACTATTTTATTCTGATTCTGAAGTGCTGGAACTAAAACAGAGATTTAATTTTTTTTTTTAAAGTGTCTAATAAGAATAATCTAGCATTTGCAACACTAAATTTATGGGCATTATTAAAAAGCCAAATGTCTAAATAAGAATAACCAAGCATTTGCAACACAACAATTTCGTGGTGTCTTTCATAAAACATAAAAGCAAACAACACAGAGAGAGTTTTTTCTTCTTTAAAGTAGAATTTCACTCAAAAACGCTCATTCCAGCTCTTCTAGCACATGCTAGATCTTGTGCTCAAAGAATTTTCCCAAGGTTAGTACAACATTCACCTTTCTTAAAAACCTGGTAAAAATAACATTCAGACACTCCACATTGGATGTAGAATGACAAGATTTCTCTCCAGAGATCTCTCATTCCACAGCTCTGGCTTGAAAAGGCACCCTGGGAGACTGAACGTTTTTGTGTCAGTTCTGCACATACATCAAATCAATTACACCAGTGATTTTACCCAAACAAAGCAGACAGTGTTTTAAACAATCACTGGTTAGTGAATGTAACTACATTATCTCTACAATAATATTTATAATACATGAGAGTATTATTTCCTAGCCATATAGGAAATAAAACAAAATCAGCTAATCCTAGTTTTGACTACTCTAGATAATGAAGCAAACCAGTGTATTAAAACTATCAGTAGCAAGGAATTAGGTTTATTTTGATTTTCTGCTGTAACCTTTAGTTTAAAAGAGGATCATCTTAATCAGCTCTGGTTTTAGCAGGTTTGTTCAAATTGATTTCTAAACCCAAGCCTTGACATTAATCACAAACATGTTAGATAATTGCTTAAACACAATAACTGAATCTAAATATCTAAACCAAAAGCATGAAAGAAAAGCCAGTAAATTAAATGAAAATCATCATTAGGATAAAAGTACAGATACAGGATTTATTTTTTAATCTTGTAATAAATACAAATTTAGATGATCTTTTTCTGACATAAGGAGAGAAGTAAGGAGCCATTAACTCAATTTCTGCTCCTTCCAATCTACCTTGAGCAGAAATCCAAATTTGAATGACCACCCATGCCATAGCTTCCCTGTACTGCTCTGCTTTTTTGCCATGTCAAATTGTAGTGAAAAGGAGATGAAAAACATTTCTAGATTTGTACTTTCTTTCAGCTGTATGAAGGCCCAAAAGGCCTTAATGTATCTTCAGAACATCATGAGGCGGGACAGTAATTTTTCCATGTTTCTCACTGAGAATACCAAATCAGAGAGGTCAGGTTCCTTGTCATCCTCACAGGGCAAAATTGCAGAGAGTCATCTCAAGACCCAGCTTTCCTGGATGCTATTTCCATACTATGGTCTACAAGACTGATTCTATTTTTGAACCAAAAGCACCAGGTATGCCAACAAGCAGTTGACCTGAAAAAGAGAGACCTTTTTCTACCTATGCCACTTCAAAAATTAATTTCAATATTATTGTTTAGTTAGTAAGAAAATAATTGATTCAAGTTCTTTCCATTATAAGAACTTCTAGGGTAGAAACACAAATTTCTTTCCTTATCCTAACACTCAGGTTACATTTCTGACATTAGATAGACCAAACTCATTTGCAAGCAATAGACAAAAGCAACTTTAGGGAAGGAACTATTGGCCACGGGGAAAAAGTCAATATCAACTGTCATCAACAACTTGGCTCAGTTACTCCACATCTATAAAACTTTACTTTTATTCTCCATCCAGATGGAAGAGATGACAGGCTGTAATGGGAACAAAATAAATAAAAAAAAGTCACAGTTGCTTAACACATGTTGCTCATCTCATATTGCTCTCTCCTGTCAGTGTGAACCACTAACTAATGCTTGGTTAACACAGACACTCTCCTCGGATCAGTGATCCACCCTACCATGGCCCCCTTGTCCTCACCTTCACACTTCACTTACTAGAAGAGAAAAAAGATCTATTGCTCTACAAGACGTTCTGACAGACTAAATCAAATAGATTCCTGGGTCTTACAAGCAAAAACCAAAGTCATGGCGTGTAAATATTTCACTCAATTCTGAAAATAAAAGACATAATCCACAACTCAAAGCCTGTAACTTTGTATGGACCTACAGCAATAGTGCAATCCTTGCATCAGGGAACACAAGATTAAAAAAGGATATACTCTTACTGGGTATTTCATATCCTCAAATAAGAACTATTTCAAGAATATTATTTTGTTTTCTAATATATAATTAAGTATTTTTAGGGCATGAATGTTAAATGTTACCATTTAGTGATCCTATTATTTTTGCCAGGAATTTGCAGTTAACATATGAAAAGTCAAAACATACCAGTTCCCTTGCTTCTTCAAGCTGTTTCTCAACATTTGCAACCATCTGCTTCTTCTCATCTGAAACAGAATTGTGAAAATACCAATATAATTGTGCTCTTGCCATGAAAGAAAAATACACCCTTTCAAAAGTTTATATGGATCAGCTAAAACTGATTCAAGAGATTTATTCTGTGTGACATCGTCACAATGGGTATACCCACATTAGTAATTAAAAAAAAAAGGAGACTGGAGAATCCTTGAAGTCTTCTGCTCTGTTATGCAGCATTTGCTAGTTAGGAAAGCACTTCCAGCCTCTCCAGGTGTAGCAGTTATGCCTCAGCTGGCACTTGCTGAGTGTGCACAAATGCATGAGAAGGCACATACATACACCAAATGAAAAAAATATGGTTTAAGAACAAAGGCTTATCTATTTATTTGTAAAATATGAGATGCACAAAACCAGGCATCCCACTTAAAATTAATCCAGACACTGAAGAAAAATTAGGTTTCTATTCCCCTGCTCCTATGCTGGGTCTAGAACTGTTTCTTTTGCTTCAACAGAAACAAAATAAAATGCCACAGGAACTACAAGAAAACCGCTTTCTTCTGGTAGCAGTAAAAATGCAAATTAGTAATAAAATATGAACATTTTTAAAAATTAAAATCAGTTTTAAGCAATCATCATCTGCCAGGTTCCCTAACAGGCCCATGTCCCAGCTGTAGAGATTGACTTTTGACCTGCCTCCAACCATCCATTCACAGGCAAAGGATCCAATAGGAACTGAGGACTGAGATTCAGTGTCACATCATCACAAACACTCCAACTGCTTGACCAAGACTTGGCTTGTTACAGCACGAAAGGCGACTTTCTGAGAAATATTCAGACGCTGGATAATAAAAAGTCCCCACATTGCTTAATTAATGTGGCATTAATTAGTGGGGTATTCAGGGGTTTCAGTACTACCACTGGCACTGCCCTTTGCCCCTCTCATGGCCATATCTTCCATCCTTCAGACAGTAAATCCACCCATAGTCTCAATGAAGTTAACACAACTCTGAACATACAACCATTTATAACACTGTTTGTTCGAAACTAAGAGTACCATGAGTCATCTGTGCTGGTGGTTTGCCTGATGAAGCAAATAAAAAGTGAATTGCACAAAAGTGTCTCCAGTCACAGCTCCTCAGAGATCATGATGGGTAAGTCTACACTGGCACAAGACTTTATCATGCATCTTTAAACTTCAGCTTTCTTTTTTAGCCTGAATTCCTTCGTTTCTCTTCCACATGATCTCTTTGTATCCTGGAACTGACAGATTAAAGACCAAAAGGGACTATCTGATGATCTGCTTTGATCCTCTGCATGCCACAAGCCACTGAATTTCAAGATGGGACCGTTTTATTAATTACATATAATTTAGCTTCTCACAGGCTGAAATGCTTATCCATCTATCTTCTCATTTACCTAACATACCCTACACTCTCATTTAAGGAAACACAAACATCACAATCTGTCCTTCCTCAGTTACATACATTGGAGCTCTGCCTGCAGAGGGGATCAGGTTCAGGATCATCTTTCTTGCAAATCTGGAATTCATGCTGCCACGTGTGGTGGATTCCACTACAGCAGAAGCTGCAGGAAATATTTTCTGTGCAGCACTTTTAGTTTTCTGCTAGCAATGTCTTTCTTTAATTCCCCACCAAGTTCTCATGATGACACCCAGGCCAGAAAATTTAGTGATTTATCTTCTTAAAATAACTAAACCCAAAAGAAAAGAGAATCTGCCACCTTTTTTCCCCCACACATTTCTATTCCCCTACACAGCATCCCCAAAAGACCTCCATTCTTTCCTTCATTAGAAGTTGGCAAGATGATGGTGGACAAAAATAAACACAATGGAAGATATAAAATACACGATATTGTTTTATTGAAGCTGAAATATAATTTTAAAATATAGCAGCAGAAAATATATGTACTCTAGTAATTTCAGTATTTCCCTGAGTTGTATTGGATTACAATTTCCATAGACATTTAGTAACCTGAAATTTAGGGATATAAAGTTGGGGGTTTTTGGAAGGCATTTCATGCTGTACAAATTCTGCTTGTACTTGTGATTACAAGAACTATGTAGCACTCCACTGGCCAGTAAGATCTTACCTACTCACAGAGAAACTGAGCTACAGACCTTTAGTAGGGGAAACTCAGTACACAGGGAGATCTGGCTGAAACTGCTCCCATAAGATTGGGGGGCGGGGTGGAGGTATTCAAATCATATCCAGTGGTTTAGTTAATTAAACTTTAACCCAAGTCCAGATTTTAACATCAATCCAGATTTACCAATACATAATCACCCAGCTGGTGACAAGAGCAGCTTCCGGGAGTGAAGTCTAGTGACAACAGGCCTTCGTTGTTCCTTCAAATATAGATGTATGAGAGGCACATGACAACATCCCGGCACGGCAGCATTGGAGAAGTATCTTCACAGACTTCCAGGAAAGCAGCTGCTGACCCTCTAGGGCACACAGTACCATGCAGTCCATGGAATGGTTTTCAAAGCATTTACTTTCAGCTTTACTTTTACTTCCATGGTTAAGTGAAGGAGAGAACTTATTTCACAGTCAGAATCCCCAGAACAAGGAGGGCACAATATTCACAGGATGACTTGCTCAGAGATTGAAAATGAGATGCAAGGGAGTTACTCTGAGTAAAAGAAGCTTGCCACTAACCTAGTGGATCAGGACAAACAAGCTACTATCCAATTAAGGATCCTCATATTACCAACTCTATAAGTCCACTGTGACTTAGCAGTTTTCAACCTGCCAACTTGATTATATCTTTAAATACACTTCCATCACATGAAATGAAAAAAAAATTTTTTATAACTTTTTGTCTTGATTCAGAATTGAAATATCCTTTCAAGAAAATAAAAAACAATGCTCCATCAAATATATCTAAATTTAATTTTTTTCTCCATATTGCTAGACAGAATGCCCCAAAGATAATATTGTATGTAGCTTGTATAATTTAACTGGTCAAATTAAAAAACTATAGATAAAGATTGGAAACAAAAGTGTGTTTTTCCTCTGTGGAGGATTGCAAACAAAAATCCGTTCTGTGTTTCTACACAAGGTTGTATCACTTTCTTAAAAGAAACAAGTTTTCACTACATTTTCCTCAGTTCTTTCAGCTTTGCCCTGGCATTAATCATGTTTTTTGTCCCCTAAAATACAGCAGTTACAGAAAGGTGAGAATCTGCCTACAAAGGCAGAAGGATAACACAGCACTGGTTTGATCTGACAGCCAATGAAGAGATTGAAAAAAACTGGATCAAGACTGAGTAGTCCCATTGCTTGTGGAATTGTTTCTTTTTATTAGTACATGCTGAGGAAGAGATTGAGTAACAAAGGGTTTCAGTTCACAGACCACTTGTAGATTTTGCTCTGTTGGCTCAGGTGATTTACATGTTCACCACTGCCAGAAGTTACTGTCCAACAGCAGAGATAAATGGAACAAGATACACGTTTCTCTCTGAGTTATAAACCTGTGTTCTAGAAGCATAACACAATGAGTCAGACCTGAAGTGGAGACAGTAAACTTCAGTACAGGGGTACAACAGAAAATTAAAGGTGGGACTTTCTTCAGCTAAACCTGTTAGAGACTGAAACACAATGTTTTGATTGGCCAGTAGAAAATGCAGGTATCAAGTATCAGAAGAATGGCAGCACTCTAGTTTAAAACCATCACAGCCCAGAGTCTATTGTGCTGGGAATAGACTAAGTATCACCATTTGTGCTGGTAAAACTATCTTTCATATCAAGCAATCAAAATTTTGATAAATTTTTGGTCCAATCACAAGATAGACATTTCTCTGAAACACCGAGGAACATTAATAAAACACATCAGTCAATTACATTCATTCTTCAAAGACCTGCAGCAGCATCACAGAAAATCTATTTAAAAGGCATTTCTCTATCTATAACACTTTCTTTAATCCTCTAGATGATGTCTGCCTTAACAGAAGACACTTTTTCCCAAGACATTCTATTGTCCCTGCTGCTTATTGTTTCTGTATTATCAGAGAGCCTTTGTTACATTTCTTGCTGAACTATTTATGCATTTGTGACAACAGGATTGTTTGCTGAGCCATTATGCTGCTAGAACACAAGACATCAAGTCCTGACAACACAGAATGCAGGAATGTTGCAAAAACAATCAACCAGTATTTCTCCAAGTCGACCGAGCAGGAGGCTTACAGCAGGTCCATCTTGAGCAGCACAGGGAAATAAACCAGTCACTAGACTTCAGGAGATCTCTTTGTATTATGCAGAAGCAGCACAAGTCCTTACACCTTTCATCCTGCTTCTTCCAGCGTGGAGGAAGAAGGCCATCAGCAATCTCTCTCAAATCACTGCTGCTGAAAACTGTCATCTCACATCCCCCTCCCACCTCACAGTCCTCTTTTTGAGGCTCTCCCAGCCATCTCCACAAGAACTAACTGGAACTTCTGGTGATGAAGAAACAGATCTTGTAAATATTCCTATTAAGAAACAAGGGAAAAATGTGCATTTAAAATATTTCTGATTAAAGTGTTCAGTATAGTCAAGATTTTTTTTCCCCAGGTGGTCAAAAGCCTCTATTAGCTAAGTCTGCAGTTTGTTTTGAAGTCATAGAAAATGTTTTTTTCTGATGAAAGACAGAATAGCCCCAAAAACAGAAGTAAAGCCTCAGCTGTCAATGTACAGGGCAAGAAGCAGCTATAATGCAAGTCGGTCTGAACCATGTATGACCAGCCTCAAATCCCAACATGGAAAAGTCACCGCTTCATAAAAAAGTAAAATTAACCATTGTGTTATCTTGATGCCATTTAGCCCAGTACCATGGTACTGGTCCTGCAGGGAACATGTATTCTTTCTCCTCTGAGAGGATGGCAAATTCTGGAAAAAGCAACCTTTTCCTGAAATCTGAATGATTTCAAAGCCTGCTGCTTCTAGGCTATGGCACTGTTTAAGCCAATAAGCTCCAAAGTCTTCCTAAGTGAATAAGGGAGACTGATTAAGCAGAGGATTATGAAAATCCACTACTACTAATATTCTAATATTAGTAATATAGAATATTCTTTCTACTACTGAACAGACTCCAATGACTTCCAAAATCTATACAACTAGGCACTTAAATCTCTATTCTTTACTATTAGGAAATTACATCTCTCTTCTTTTTCCATAAATCAGTGTAGAACTATTGATTTTCAGAAAAGGAGTCAGTAGTGTATTTATGATGTCTCCCTGTTCCTGCAAGAGGTCCTTAAATTTGCTGTTTCAAAGTGAAGAACCTTTGTGCATTCTCTCGGTAAATTTTTCTAGCGCACATTTACAGGTTAAATATAATTTATGAGCAGAGTAAATTACATCAATTCTAAATTCTAATCTTGGGAACTCTTTGATTCTCTCCCTTCTTCATTTTGCAAGTTTCCATTAGAAAATAGACAGTTTTCCACCACAGCCACAGCTTCTTGGGAATTATACCCCCTTGTCTTTTCTGTTAAGATCAAGAGCAAAACAGCTTTGTTAAGCCAAGGAAAAGGCACAGTTTCCTATTCTTTAACCATGGAACTGAACCCAATTTTTTCAGAAGACTTTCTAACTTGCTAAGAATAGAACTGGACGTAACTTTCCAGAATCAAAAAGGCTTTTACTCAAAATCTCCTAAGATCACACATTTTAGTTGACCACCTACCTCAAATCCTGTTTAGAGTCACTACTTAATGATGCATTTCCCACTCTAAAAGTAGGACGGTATTTCTTTGGTCCTGGATGCCCGATACTTTTCCTTTTAGTCATACAGGAAATTGCCATACCATTAGCATGTGTTTATTTCCTCCTTATACAGTACCCACTCCTATGGTTTAAGTTCCCTAAAGGTTTGGGAAATGTGCATTAGAAGCAGAGGCAGAAATATTAAATGACCTGGAAACAGAAAAGGCATTAAGCTGAGCTACAAGAGGAGCAGATGACAAAATCATGAGTGTCACCTTCCCTCTGTCTCATACTCAGACCCCTGTATTGGGGCACTGATTCATATGTGCTGGGAGATTGACCTGGGTTGATTAATGAGATTATCATTTTCACCTTTTTACACTGACACTCTTACAGACAGAATTGACTCTGTTGCAGGGACACGCCACGAATCAGACCATGAACACTGCAGGCTCCTGACAAACACATTAAAGCAAATGAACACTGATTTCTTTTGAATCTGCTCCTGCATGTGAGTCACCACAGTCAATTATCCAAATCAAATGTACGAACAGTGGGCAGCAAAAATAAACATTCAGATTAAATCACGCACGAAATCGGTCTACGCTACAGGAAAAAGGCTTGATTTCCACCACTGATGTTGAGGCATGACCACAATAAACAGCATCCAGCAGCAATGCTAGCACAGGGAACACGCCTCAGCTCTGCTCAGCTGCACTGGCGTAACCTCGCGCGGCCCCACAACGGGGCAGAAGGCAAGGGCTGATCCTCACAGGTGACCAGCAAACGATATTCTTATTGAAGAGTATTCTGAACACACCTCATGAGACAACGCGCGGCTCGGACAGACCCGGGGCGGGGAGGTGGATCCCGATTCTGCTGTGCAAGGAGCGAGGACACACATTCGGGTACCGGGACACCGAGACCTCGCTAAAAACACACCGGCCCCTCCCGCCGCCCCCCCGCGCGCTGGGAACGCGGCGGCTCCGGGACCGGAGAGGCTCCGACAGAGGAGCCCCCCGGGCCTGCGGGGCGAGCACCGCAGGGGCAGGGATCAGCCGCTCACCTCCTACCAGCTTGGGCACCTTGCCGATGCGGCCGGTGATGTCGGCCGTGAGCACGGCGAAGTCCTGCTCGTAGCTCTCGAAGTCCGCGGACATCGCGGTGGTGCCAGTGCCGCTGCCGGGGCAGCCCCGCCGACACTGCTCTGCACCGCTTCCGCGTTCTGACACCACCAAATGCGCCCCGCCCGCCCCCGGCCGCCTCGCCGCAGGTTCCGCCGGCATTCAGGTGCTTCTACCGTCACGGCTTTAAGCGGCACGGCTTTAACCCGGAGTGGCCTGGCATGCGGAGTCGCGTTGCTCCGCAGGCACAAACTGGCGGCGGCGGTGACGGGTCACTCCCGCCCCGCAACCTCGCAGCGTTGTAACCTGCAGGGGCACACGGACGCGGCTGCCGCACCGACTGTTTCCCGGCGGGCCCGTATTGAGGGCGCACCGCGGGCGGGCGGTGGCAGCGCGGTACCCGCTCCCCCCCCGCCCCCGCCGCTCCTCCCCTTCCCTGCCCACCCCTTCCCATCCGTGTCCCTTCCCGCCCTGCCCTCGCCTGCCGGCGGGAGCCATGCACGGCGGCGGTGGCGGCGGCAGCGGGGCGGCGGCGGCGGTCGGGTGGCGGTAGCGAGGATGGCGGTGCCGGGCGCGCTGGGGCGGGCGCGGCGCCTGTGCCACTGGGGCCCGGCAGTGGCGCTGGCCGTGGTGGCCGTGTGCTCCGCCACCGCCATGGCCGACGCCGCGCTCTGGTACTGGCCCCTGGACACGGCCGGGGGCAGCGTCAACTTCATCATGCTCCTCAACTGGACCGTCATGATCCTCTACAACTACTTCAGCGCCATGTTCGTGGGGCCCGGGTACGTCCCGCTGGGGTGGACGCCGGTAAGCGCTGCCGTGAGACCACCGCGCCCCGGGGCCGGGCTCCCCCGCGGTCTCAAGGGCAGAAACCGCGTGTCTTTCCATGCCACCTCTGTCTCCTAAGAATGCTCCGGGCTCGCAGGCCACTCCTCCCTTCTTATCTTGTTTCGAAATCTTCCCTTTCCGCCTCTTTCCTCCCCCTTCCCGCTCCCCCGCCCCGCGCTTGGTTGCTGCTTCTCCCAGAGTTCCCAGTCCGCTCCAGCTTGCTCCGTTCCCTCCCCTGTGCTGTCAAGTCGCTGTGTTTTACAGGGGCTTCTCAAAGCAAAAAACCAGGAAACAGGTAGTGTTAGCGACATTTGAGAACCTCAGGGTTATCTGCAAGCTCTTGCAGGCACTTGTACTGGAGGCTTTGCTGCCAGCAGTAACAGTTACAAGAAATTAATTTAGAATTTTTTTTTATGTGAGCCTGAAAATTATATGTTGATCTTATGCTTAATGCAATACTAGGTGGAAATTTGCCTTTTCTGTGCTTCAGTAATCTCTTGGAAGAGGGAATAGTCAAGGACCAGAATGATACAGGTTCAGAGTTTCAAGGCAGCTGCCCAGAGTTTTGTGTTCCAGTGGCACAATAAAAAGTTTAGTAATGGTCACATTTCTACTTGTGGAATATTACTCAGGACAGAGTCTAGTCAGAAGAGGATCCTGATGTAGCCTTAGCAAGACAACTGCGTATTCCACTTCGTGAAGGGAAGATTTTGGCCACAGTTACTACTGGCTATCAACAGGTGTCTCTGTCTCTCATCCTGCTGTAGTCAGTGTGTGTGTGCGTGTGTAAGAGAGATTATAGGAGCATTATTATTAATGCTTAACCGGTACTGTACCTTAGTGGTAAACCTAGATTGGCTTTTGGAATAAAATGGAGAGACAAGGGGCACAAGATTGATTGTTTGTATTTTTTTTTAATTATAAAGGCCTCATGCTGATTTTTAGTCTCAGAACTTCACATTCAAATCCTGCTTGTACAGTCACTCTTGCTAACTGAAGAACTGTTTGTTTCTTTTAGCAACCAGCACTTTCAACAGTGGGAGATGGCTGTGTTGATAGCCAGATTAGCTAAGAGATTATTTCGTTTTGGTTTTTTCTCTCTTTGCCACCTTCCATTAAATAGTGTTGGACTGTGAAACTCACCCTTTCAGAAGAAATCAAATATGCTTAGGCTAGGAAAATTCCAAGAATATGCATTGTTAGTGAAGTTATGTATATATCTAACACTCCTATTCTTCTTTTTAAAGGAAAAATCTCAGGATTGCATGTATCTCCAATACTGTAAAGTGTGTCAGTCTTACAAGGCACCTCGTTCACACCACTGTCGAAAGTGTAACAGGTACTGTCTTTCTTTAAAATTATTTAAAGTCCATATTAAAGCAGCTTAAAAATCTAATCATAGGCTATTACCATAATTTGTTCTTCCAGGACTTGTATTGTGCTTTTTGAAAAAGCTTCCATATGAACACTATACCCATTTTGAATATTTCTTCTTTATAGCTGTATGATTTCTATACAGTTTTACTGTATTTTAGTTTAATAAATGAATGTCTTTAACATTTTCCTTATACCTTGAAATCAGTTTCTCCTAAGAACTTCTTGACACTACTAACAAAACAATGCAGTCTTGCTTCAGGGATGTGAGTGTGTGTAAATACCTAAAAGTCTTTGAGTCTTTTTTATGTTCTGAGTCCAAACATTCACCTACTGAGGGAGTAGAAAAATCTTTTCTGTCATCTTTCCAAAAGAGAATTAAATGTTGATTTGAGTGGAAATTTTGTACTATTCTTTTACTCTTCACTAAAGAGGGGTTTTTTTGAGGGGAGTCTGCATGTTAAGTGAGGCAATAAATCTTTTTTAGGTCAATTTCAGAAGTTTGTACCTTGTTATCTTCCGACAGACTTGTTCTGATACAAAATATGCTTTTATTATAAATAGCTGCCCTGGAATTTAGTGCAGCTTGAAAAAATCAAGGCATTTCAGCTTTCTGCAATCCAAGCTGTGGTTGCATTTATCTTGGGTTTACAGGGCAGGTCGTCCTCTGAAGGATTGTTAAACAATGGGGTAAAAGGATATTGCAACATACATGTTCATTTGTTATTTCTATAAACACACTGTGTTTTTAGGAAGTTGAAACTCTAGAGCTGTGCTGTAATTTGGCTGCATCATCTCCAGATTTAAAATTTGAGGCTCCTTTCCTTGAGTGACAATCTTTACACTGAGGACTGATCACTTAGGTGGTCACTTACTTTTACACCTGTCAAGCTAATTTGGGATGTGAGCAAATCTTTAACCCAGTGGGGGTTTTTTGTACCTGTAAGCTACACCAAAATAACCAGCTTTAGGTTGAATGTGAGAGTGTATCTAGGGTGTATACACTTGGTAAAGATATTTTGAAAAGGATTTTCAGTGGTGGAAGGTCAATACATTAACAGTTGAGGAAGTTTTCAGTGTTTACTCCTGAAAATAAAGAGGCACGAACACACTTGCATCTGGGTAACTTTAAATATTTTTCCTGCGAGTAGTTCACAGGGAATTTGATATTTCTGCTATTTTTCTGGTGTGCTTATTTAAAAAAATTAGCAATAATACTAGTGCTTAATTATTGTGATGATAGTTCTTACAGATCCCATCTTATGGTTCTGTCTCCTGGCTCTGGAATATGCTGCTTTTTAGTAGCTAGCAAGTTTGAGTAAAGAGTAGGACAGGTAACTAAGAAGGGTAGGACCTGGAAGCACTTTTTATTTGCTTTCTTTTATTTTATAGTGTGGAAATATAATTCTGAATAGCAACAAGAAAAGAAACTACTGTATTTGGAAACACTGGAAATTGGTGGGTTTAGATGAATGAATGGTGTTTGAATAATAAAAAGTTAGCTGTCCTTTTCTATGAGCTTTTTGATAAATATCGTATGTGTCCTTTATATTAATCAATATTTGTTATTCACAGATGCGTCATGAAGATGGATCACCATTGTCCTTGGATCAACAACTGTTGTGGATACCAGAATCATGCATCTTTCACTCTGTTTCTCCTCTTAGCTCCACTGGGATGCATTCACGCTTCTTTCATATTTGTTATGACTATGTACACTCAGCTTTACAACAGAGTAAGAAAACGTAATTAAATGCTTAGAGTATTATTTAAGTCAGATGCGTAAGTTATCTCTGGAAGTATGAGATAATTCGGTTTTCTGAGAAGCAGCATGTGGAATTCCTTGCTATTGTTTCAACATGTGCTCTTAGTTCTGCTCTCTACCTATGAGAAGTATATATATTAATTGGAGGAGGATTCAGGGAAAGTTGTTTCTGTGTTTTGGTTTTTTTCACCTGTTGCTTGTCATAATCATAGAGAGTTTCCTAGTGCTTTACATTGTCTGAAGACAATTTCTGTGTAGCACTTTTATATAGAGAGAGACAGGCTGTGTTTTGGCTGCCACAGAAACTAGCTGCTATTTATTTCCAACACACAAGTTAGATGCTATTTATTGTCTTTTACTTGCCACTTTTTTAGAATTATGTCCATTTCTTCAAGGAAAGAAAAGTATGTTATTTTTGGGACTAAAATTAAATGTTAGTTTGTGGTTTTTAAGTGGAAAACTTTAACTGTAGCAACAATGAGCAAAGGTTTTTCTGCAGTGCAGCCCTTATCTCAGATTCATGGTTACGATTATAAGCTTTGATTTCACCCTTTGTGGTTACAGTGAAGAGCTTGTTAACATGAGCTGAGTGTAACAGATGAAGTTGTGTTTGTAACAGCTGAGTGCAGAGTGACAGTGTTGAGAACTGCTATCTGCCAAAGCTTTCACAGGCAAACCTGTAGCATTTCCGTGAAAAGTGGGTACTGTTCTGTGCAAATGTTGTCTGTCTGGTACTGATGAATGCGTTTTTGTTAACATGCAGGAGTCCAGATATTTTTTGCTGATTTTGGGTCTGTAGAGCTGCCAAGATGATATTTGTGGTTTCACTTTCTATCTCAAAGGTCTCCATCTAGCAAAAAAACATACTGATGACTACAAAAGAAAAATCTTTTGAAACTTTTTTTTTTTTTTAATTACTCCACTTGCATTATGAACCTGTCAGAAGTTGGACACTTACCTTCAGAGCCAGATTCCTTCTTGGTAACTTGCTTTGTTTCAGCAGTTGGAATGTTCTAGACCTGAATGATATTTTCCCTTTGCAGATATCTTTTGGGTGGAGTTCTGTGAAGATTGACATGAGTGCAGCCAAAAGAGACCCTCGACCCATTATTCCCTTTGGACTATCTGCATTT